GACTAGCACACTTTCTTAACTACAGCACTTATTCACATTTGGGCTGGATGATTCTTGTGGGTGACGCTGTGCACTGCAGGCTATGTAGCAACATTCCTGGCCTGTGCCTACTAGATGCTAGTAGAAACCCCCTCTAGCTGTGACAACCACAAATATCTCCAGACAGTGCCAAATGCCCCCAGATGAGAACCGCTGCAAAACCATTGTGTCACCTGCCACAGGCAGGCCCAGCCATCGCCAGGCTAGGGTGTCCCGGTCAGCCAAAAGCCCGCACAACCCTGAATACCTGCTGCTCTGAGACCGCCTGTCTATGCCCCAGAGACTGCAGACAGTGGAAATGCCAAGCAAAGTCGCAGGCACAGTTAGAGCCTTGGTGGAATTGTGGGTGGGAGCTGCCAGGAAGGCAGCACTTGGGGATGCCCAGGCCTCCCACACTGATCAGTGAAGGGGCTGAGTTGTTCCACTACTCATCCTTCCACCTTCCACTCATCCACCCTGCTGTCTAGACTAGAGTGCTTTGACTCAGCAAGAGACTCCAGGCTGGGGCCGAGATGGGCCCATGGCTGCCCTGGGACCAGGCATTTAGTGCCAGCGCCTTGGAGCCAGATGTTTGGACACCGCAGATGGGGATGTCAAAAAGAGAGAGACAGAAGGTTGTGAATCTCTTCCCAACCTTTCGAGAAAAAATATTCAAAAATAAAAAAAAAACCAAAAAACAAAAACAAAAAAATAAAGAGAAAAAATAGTTTGAGAGTGACAAACGAGGCTGATTAAGCCCCCTGATTTTTTTTTTTTTTTTTTTGAGACAGAGTCTCACTCTGTCGCCCAGGCTGGAGTGCAGTGGTGTGATCTTGGCTTACCACAACCTCTGCTTCCTGGGTTCAAGCGATCCTCCTGCCTCAGCCTCCTGAGCAGCTGGAATTACAGGTGTGCACCATCATGCCTGGCTAATTTTTGTAGTTTGAGTAGAGACGGGGGTTTCACCATGTTGGTCAGGCTGGTCTCAAACTCCTGACCTCATGATCTGCCCACCTCAGCCTCCCAAAGTGCTGGGATTACAGACATGAGCCACTGGGTCTGGCCCAGCCCCTGGTTTTTGAAGGGGACTCTATACTATCACTGTATAGCACGCAGGTTAAGAGCATGGGCTCCAGTCCCAGACTGCCTGGTTTAAATCCTGACTTTATTGCTAAATGTCTGTGCAACCTCTGGTAGGTTTCTTGCCCTCTCTGTGCCTTAGTTTCCATTGTAAGACAGGGAGGATGAAATGAGTGATGAAGTGTTTAGAATAGTGCCTGGTGCACAGTAAATACTGTGGATATGTCTGATAAATAAATTCTCACAGTCCTTGCAGGGAAGAATGATTATCCTCAATCTGCAGATGAGGACATTGTCAAGTTGAAGAAGTTAGTAAGAGCTAGAGCTGGGATTTGAACCCAAACTTCTCTGCCTTTCAGAAGCACTGTTTGTCAGCCATACCATGCTGCCCAGGTATGAGACGAGAGGCCTGGCAAGGCTGTGGCCTTGGTGAAACAGGGTCCACAGGTGTCAGGCTCCTGAGACTCATAAAGTGGCTCTGGGAGGTGCTCCTGTCCTGGCATAGAGACCCGGTGCAGCCTGGAGGCAGGTGGTGGCCACTGAGCCCCTAGTGCCCCACTGTCTGAAGGATGCTGGAGCAGGAGTCAGAGATGACGCGGGTCTGCCTTTCACTTACCGTCTGATCTGAAGCCAGGACTGTCCCGGTGAGGACAATATGGCCAGTGGCTGTTGGAAGGGATGAACTGGCTGAGTCAGCTATGCCAGCAGCCTGGAGTAGAAAAAGGAGATGGCTGGGCACGGTGGCTCACGCCTGTAATCCCTGCTCTTTGGGAGGCCAAGGCGGGCAGGTTCACCTGAGGTTGGGAGTTCAAGACCAGCCTGACCAACATGGAGAAACCCTGTCTCTACTAAATA